TGGTTCTTGACTGGCGGACCCACGCCAGGCCTGATGAAGAGACTTATGCGCCCCATTATGAGGGTCGCCAGAAGGGTGTTCTTGATGTAAAGCCCAGACATATGCGCTTAGCCTCATGGTATGTGATTTGATCAACACAAGTACCAAGGCTGCGGCAATGGAGTGTCCATTGTCTACTGCCTGGGTTCGTGTTGCCCCAACATGACCCTCCACCGAACACATGTAGCTGGTCGCGACGTTCTCATATCGTTGTGACGCCTTTGGATACGGCAAACGCATGCATTGGAAAGCCACTGAAATGACAGCTGACCAGATATAGCAACCTGGAGCCGTCGAGCCAGCTTCGTTCGTCGAGTCACGTTGACATGTCCGATTGGGACCGATGAGTAAGAAACCGGATGGTGAAAGCTCGTGTCTGTTGCACAAAGTGAAGAAAGGAGCAGTGCTTCAATGCTGGCTCTGTGAGGCTTTTCACCAGTGGCCAACGGAGGTCAGCCCTGACACTGCTGTCGTATATCAATCTTCCGACTTGGGCCTCGAGAGAACGCGACCGCCTTTCTACACACCACCGACAAGAACCTCAACTAGGATTCCATCACTGCGGCATGGCACAATTACAAGCAATGTCCGTTTCTCATCCCCACAAACGATCCCAATCAGCTAACGAGTATGCAGTACCGAAAGCAACCGCACTTTGTCACCCTTGCTTAGTCTCCCGGGAGAGATTCGTAACAGGATCTACGACTTTACTCTGGGTGGCAATACATGGCATGTCGATACGCGTCGTAAATTGACCTGCAAAACCCCGAAAGCTGAGCGCAACGATCACCGAGCTCTGCTTCGTGTCTGTCGACAAATATATAACGAAGCCCGTCTCTTACCATGGTCACTCAGTGACTTTCGATGTGAGACAAAAGATGATCTTCGCAATTGGCTCACCAACTTTCCGAGGGAATGTCGCTGGGCCATCACGACTATCACCCTGTTTGCCTCTTCTGCCGATCGTCCAAATCCTTCGCACCCACGCCCAACGATATCACTGCTTTTACCAAGAGCGATGATCGGCTTCCAAGACTTTCCTGGTCTTAGGAAACTCGATAGACATTTCGGAGTCTGTCCAGAAAGAGACTACCGTTGTTATACGCAGCTAGGCGATGGGACCAAAAGCCAATCTACCGAGGAGAAGGTACGAGTGGTAATCGCTCAGCCGTATACACCAGAAGAAGAACGTCAGCGGCAAGGTTTTTCGTTCATGGCCTTTACATAGCTATAGTATAGCGTTCAGTATCCAGGGTACCGTACTGTACCCTTTTCTACAAGTCACGAACGGCACCTAATAAGAGATTAACTCAGATGAGGGTGTCGACGCGCATAGTTGTGTCGGCACTGGGATATGAGTAGAACTCACTACATAATCTGAAAAGACGCCTTGCTCTGTGCACCGCAGTGATATTCGGATGTGACACTAACCTCGTTGGACACAAGGATCATATGCTTTCTATGCTTTCAGGTCTAGTGCGATAGGTATACACACCCCGAGACGAAGGTAGAAAGCTGCTACACATAGCTTGAGAGACTAGAGTATGCGTGCAGGGGTGGTCCAGCCAGCTACCTGGATCTTGAATCCGATGACCCTGAAACCCCCGTTAACTACGTGTGCGCCAGGGTTCATTATGTCGTTTTTTGCGCTAGGCGTTGGCTTCATGTATACCTCAACTTAGACTCAGGATCGTCTTGCGATAGCGCAGCACGCTCATTCAGCGTCATGCCATCATCTGCGAGACCATATACGTCCACTGCCAGGCTGTACCCGAGGCTACATTAGGCGGTGCAGATAAGCTAGTAAACGGTTTGTTAGCAGTATAGAATCTATAAAGCATTCTTTGCTACTCACGATCGCAATCTATACCAGGTAGTTGTCTACTTGTAGCTCGCGGAGGCCCACAGCGGTAATCCTAGCGTATGTTCGCAGACACGTAAAGGAGACAGCAAGTGCATAGAGGGTCTACAGCTCCACGATGCCCATGGCGTATTCTGCAACAATAGTGTTAGATAATCAATGAAAGTCTGATCCATCACTCTTAAACTCTAGGTCAGTCGGTATAATTGCAAATCCAGAATAAAACAGATAGAACTGTATCCAAGACGTTCATGGCGTAGCCTAACTCAATAGAATGTCAGCCAACAGATACCCCGTGTAATCACATCACATCGGCCCGAAGTCACATTGGCACCCAATCTGAGTGCGCCATCCGATACTTTGCAGAGAGAGGAAGGCACAAAGCGGCGCAGTTCTTGGCTTGCCGGCTATAGCTCAGGATCACGCCGAATACGAGCAATCTTTTCGTTGCCGTCTTGTTTGGCTTGTTATATTACACTTGGATGTTCGCATGGCTAAGAGATCAGTGTCTTCGATGGTCACGTTCGTGGTTCAGCCACAGGCAAAATGCGCGCGACAATGGCAGCATTGCGCTTTCAGCATTCGACAGTGTGGTTGGCAGAATAGAGGCTGGCATCCTTGTCCTTCGATGAGTCTGTGAAGTAGGAGGAGGCAAGCCTTCCAGCCCGGAAGGAAGTGGATGAAAACGCACCTCGACTAGCGCATAGGAAGCGGCAGTTGGCGTCTGGGCGGGCCAGGGCAACGGTGCGGCTCGCGGCATCTTGTCCGAGACCCGAACCAATCGTGGTGATGCCTGAGCCCCACAGAACTCGATAACTTGCAAGCGCTCAACTCGGGGCGAAGACAAGATCACCGTAGGATCAAATTCCCACCGATTGTGTGATCGAGCTGAATCCTGCGATGCAGCCTATCCCGCCCTTGCGCCATCTAGACCCTGACGACAAGCACGCTGCAGGGCGGCCCGGAGATCTTCCTCATTGAGCATGATGCTTTTAGCCGACAGCGCAGATGTCTTCTCGTATTTGAGATGCTATGAAGCCACATCCCAGGATGTTGGTAGCTCACGACCCCGTCTTGCACCCTGCTTGACGCCTTTCCACTGGCATCATGTTGGCAAGAGCTCTGGCACCGTTGGCTGTCGCAAGCCTATGTTTTACCTATGTCTTGGGAACTCCTACTTCGCCATTCGATCTCTTTTCTCGGACTCCCGCAGCAGGTATCGACGTGAAGTCGTTAGCACCGTATCTCTCTGCCAACGCAAAGATTTACCTTCCCGATACGAAGGAGTTTGCTACCTACACGACCCGATGGTCTAATCTACAGACCCCTACGCCGAGCATCGTTATCGCCCCGGGTACGGAGAAGGACGTCCAGAAGATTGTAAGTTCATCCGTAGGCGGTGGGAAGTTCTGTACCCGAACATGAGAGGCCGGCAGCAACAGCTGACACGTTCACGGCAGGTCAAGTTTGCGAATGACCACAACATCCCGTTCCTCACCTACAACGGCCACCATGGAACGCTTACGACCTTGGGCAAGATGAACCATGGTATCGAGATCTACCTGCCTCAGTTGAACTCAATTTCGATCGCCAAAGACGGAAAGTCAGCGACTATTGGTGGTGGGGCCAACGTGAAGAACCTGACAGATACTCTATGGGACGCTGGAAAGCAGACTGGTAAGCTTTCCAACTTCACAATAGACTTGGTCTGCTCTAACACCACTTAGTCACCGGCTGCTGCGAATGCGTCAGCTACTTGGGACCGGCCCTCGGTGGCGGTCACGGATGGTTCCAAGGCCACTATGGTCTGATCACCGACCAGTTCCTTTCCATGAATATCGTGCTCGCAAACGGAGACTTGAAGACGATCGACAGTAAATCAGACCTGTGGTGGGGTATGCAAGGGGCTGGCCACAACTTCGGCGTCGTTACATCCGTCACCACAAAGGTGTACGACATCGAGCACTACGACTGGGCAATTGAGACTATCGTCTTCAGTGGTGACAAGGTTGAGCAGGTCTATGAGGCGGCCAACAAGTACATTCTTCAAGGTGGAAAGCAATCCGCGGATATACATGACTGGACGTACTGGCAGAATGATGCAAGATACGACATCGAGGGGGTAAGATATAACGTTTCTCGAAAAGACTACATTCACTGACCTGCAAGCAGCCGGTCATCATCATCTACATTATCCAAGAGGGTGTTACCACCGTCGATCCCAAGTACACCGCGCCCTTCCACAAAATCGGTCCTCTGGCCGCCACACCCCAGTCCGGCACCTACAAAGATCTCGCGAAATGGACAGGTATCGCGCTCGAATCACCTCCATGCCAGGACTTCGGCTTTAACAACCCTCGCTTCCCGATCTACATCAAGTCCTATAATGTCACCGCGCAGCGCAAAGCCTGGGATCTCTACTCGTCCGCCGTCGCCGGAGCCGATAACCCATACTACAACTCCATCTTCATGTTCGAAGACTACGCCAGTGGTGCTGTCCGCGACCGTAGCAACGCTGCTAGCGCATTTGGCTTCCGCGACGCGCACACCCTCGCTGCACCTCTGATCATATACAATTCCACTGGAGAGGCGCAAGACGAAGCCGTCAAGCAGCTCGGCACGCAGCTTCGTGACATCATCCATGAGGGTACAGGTTCTAGTGAGCTACATACCTATGTCAACTATGCGTACGGCAATGAGGGACCAGAGGCGTGGTATGGCCACGAGGACTGGAGGCAGAAGAAGCTGAAAGCGCTCAAGAAGAAGTATGATCCCAAGGGGAAGTTCAGCTTCTACGCGCATATCGCGTAGGTGTACCGAGTCTGAAGGTTGAGAAAGCAATCATCAGATGTTACGAGGCCTATACTCGTCTCGATTTGGACAAGACTAAGGTCGTCCTATCTCTTCGTAGCCTTCACCATGTGACTTGATTGAAATCTCGCTGCACTCAAACTACGCCATTGTTCCAAATCCTCGCTCGAAGGCTATGCGTAGGGATTTTTGAGTGTGCGGTCAGCGACTAGGGCAATATCGCGACACGATACAAGAGAGGAGGTAACATTGTCAGAGGTAATATTTGGTCGGTTTCTAACCCTGAGCTCTAAAATGCTTGCTGTAGCAGTCTGTCATCCAATGAAAATGAGCCATCCCATTCGGTCCACAGTAGTACGGGAAGCGACTCCATGGTGGGCTCTATGATACCAAAAAATCCTTCGAAGAAGACTCTCGTGCCGGGAGATGTACCCCGATCTTCGCCCAGGGTAGTAGTGACAGCTTGCTCGTCGTCCGCCCCGTGGTCGCTCGTGTGCCCATTCACATAGGCTTTCACCTTAAGTATGTCTTCCTTGTGAGTGAGAAAGTACCCTGATAGTTGCTGGACGACGTCTGCAACTGTAACAATACCGCCATCTGCTCTGGTAACAAGTAAGGGCTCTGGTCGCTGATAGCGACGATTCTCCTCAAACCCAGGCTCGTCGAACTCTTCATCGCTGAAGCCTGTTTCAAGAGCTGCGAACTGGTTGAGCTCGTCGATGCTGAAGGCTATCTTGGTGAGAGGAATCTCGGAAGCTGGTTCCGATGCGATCGCGTGGCCTCCAAAGGGTGACAGGCCAGGCTTCCGACCGGGAGTCTTTGGTTCGTCGAGAACGAGAATGTTGGAGATGTCCTCAAAGACTGACCAGCGGAGACGCTCAAACGCTTCATTGAGAGGGATGGCTCCTCGGGTGTTGGCCAAGCTTCCATTAGGATGACCGGATAGAGGCGCGGTAGTCATGTTGAGGCCGAAAGCTGTTGTATACAATCTGAAGTAGATTTTGCGAGCATACCTCGGCGATACGGGTGTACGGCTTTGAGGAGACCCACTCTAGACCCTTGCACCGAATCGGGTCAAGAGCCGAGGCTCGCCAGCCTTGTCGGATCGTATGATGTCTGGCAGACATTCACACCCGAACCACGAACACACCAATGCATCCACTGTGAACTATCATATCTATCTGGGTACCTGGAGACGACATTTACTGGCGCGGAGCACCGAAATGAGTACAGATGAACGCTATAATCCGACAACCAGGCTGTCGGCTCACAACGCTCGCGCCACAAAGCAATGTCACATCCGCGCAACCATTTTCACGTGCCACTCCAAAGCACCGTGGCCTGTGAAGGTCAATACCACTTGCAGGTTGCGAGATGCGCACTTCAAAATGACATTGTTGGGTCCACAATCCGATATATCGACTTCGTGAATTGCCTGCAGTTTGTGATCTTAATTCTGTGCCACGATTCCCAACGGGAACTCCTTTCCTCCCAGAATCATCGTACATATTATCACCGGCAACATGGTGATACTGAGTGAGGCTCGACCCGAGCAAATGGCAATGTAAGTCCCGCACTCTACGCGTACTTGTCCGAAGTCATAGCGACTAACAACTGCTAGCGGTGTGATGAACCAATCCAACTCTCCCCTCCTCAAACTCCCCGGAGAGCTCAGAAACCGGATATACAAATACGTCCTCGACAGCGATGTCACTTGGCACATCACCTGCCACAAAGACTATGCATGGCGGAAAGTCTCACGTTATCACGACGATTGCGAGTGTGTCCTATGTGGTGAACCGACAGTTCGAGCTTTCGGATCTACCCTTCACCAGGTCTGTCGTCAGATACATCAAGAGACATGGTTACTCCCCTACGCCTTGAACACATTCGAGGCGGACTATTACGGAGGCACTCCGATCGATGCTCTGGTGTGGTGGCTACACCAGCTGCCAGAGCCCGCAAGATCTGCGATACGCTCTCTCCGAATGAATGAAGGTCATTGCGGCGAGATCACGAAAGATGTCCTTGAGACGAGGTTTCCGGTATGGTGGACTGCGGGACACCCGCATAGAGAGCGTCGCGTTATGCGAATGCGCGGGCCTGTACAGGGCATGCGCATGGTAGATGGCGTGGATGAGTTGTATGCTCTCCTACCGGGCCTTGAACACATTCATCTCGTCCTTAATGTAAGCAAATTCGCGGTGAGTTGGAATAAGCCAGATGACGTGGCTGTTCGGCGCGCCAAAACTATGGCCATCGCACAGCTACGTCCCGAAGTCGAGAGGATGTTTGGGCGACCGAAGGTTTGCGTGAGTATGGATGTGCATGTACTTGTCGGACACGGCTGTGGTTGATGGTACATGGCGCTTGTCAGTCATCGCGCGAAGCGATGGCTCTTCTTGAGCTAGGTTCAGACACATGTTGATGGAAATGTTATCGGCCTCTAGGTATGCTTGTGGACTACATTGCGAAGATGAGTTATAGATGTATAGAGCAGCGGTATCGTTCGCGACGACACACCTCTGAGACGACTCCGACTATGCTTATCTTTTGAGGTGAAGGGGGCAAGATCAAAGTTAAAGTACCACGTCCTGTAGTTGTCGGTTTGTTCTCACGTCGTAGTCTCACTTAGATCTCACGCTTACAATCATCCTGTCGTAGTCGTCACTTCAGCTACTCTCCCACTCTCTGCCCACGGACAATCTACGACCCCGCTGATGATACTCGTTCTTACTAATAGCTCGCCCTAGAAGCAGGCAATGTAAGTGCAACAGCCTATAAAGATGCAATCTAGAATGGATACTCAAGATGCATGGTGCTGCTCGCAACCAGCGCATGTCGCCACAGCTCAAGCTACCCGGTGAACTTTGGAATCGATTCTACGGTTACGTACTCGGGAATCTAACGTGGTATGTCGGCCATTGTCATGAGAAGCGAGATGACGAAGACAACGTCTACGAGATATTTCAACTATACGAGGAAACCAAGCCAGGCCGCTACAAGACGAAGTCGTCCTTAGTCGCTATGTACCTTTGAGGTAGTAGCTCTTGAGCAGCTCAACAATGACATCCAAGTCCTGCGGCCCTCTTACACCACACCCTGACATAATACCCTTGAAGCTCTTGACACCGATTGCCGTCTTCACCTTGTTCCACTCCTTGTCCGTTAACTCCTCTTGCGCGGGCCAAAACGATACATTAGGAGCATTCAACTCCTCCACCGTCTTATTCCCCCTCCACTTGTATACAATCCAGGCAGACTCCTCAAAAGTACCTACATTGATACCTCGAATCGCTCTTCGCAGACCGATGCCGAATCTAACGAACTTTTCCCGAATAATGTAGGCTCCCGCCTTCTTGAGGTACCAATTGTTGAGCTCGATGTTCATTTTGACGTGCGCGTTCTTCTTCGCGTACATGAGTAGGCCATGGAGGACCTCTCGACGAGGTAGGAGGTCAGGACCCCAATTGGTCTGGTATGTGACCTTGCGGAGCTTGCGGTCGAGACACGAGTCGCTGAGCTCGAGAACGTTGACGAGATATAGACCCTCTCTAGGTTTGGCGAGAAGATGTTTCAGAGAGAGCTCGAGAAATTTGGCTTCATTGCCAAAGGCCTTGTGGATCTCGGCGATGCGATTGTACGGCGTGCGCTCGCCAGCAACGTCTTGGATGACGACCTTTCCGTCTTTTGGCGACGAAATGACCAAGCTACCGGGCCCAGCGAGAACGTATCTCCACACTGCTTGTCGAAGCTCAGCAGGCAGATCCAGGAGCGCACTCTTCCTATCAGGCTCATAGCGGGAGTAGGAAGCTCCCTTGATAGAGAAGCTCCCGACTTCTTCACCGCGCATTGCGAAACTCATCGAGACGCACTCGCGATCTATACGCCAAAGCGCTCGGATATCCGCATCGCCGCCTATGCGCATTGTCGATGCGTCCAAGGACAGAGTGGAACTGGTCTTAATCGCGCCAGTAATCGTATCGAATCGGAGGAGCTTCATAGTGGCGCCGTCCAGTGCGATCGCGACGCGCTCGGCCGATGTCTTGTCGTTTTTATACCATCCGGTATAACGCCTAAGCGTGGCGGGATCGAGTGCCATTGCGACAATAGTAGGATGAGTAAAGAAGGTGTATGAACGAGAGATAAAGATCGTAGAGTAGGTAGTAGGAGATGTGTTGCGCAAGCAAAAGTCGGAAAGGCGGACAAAGCGCGGGTGCCTATTGATACAAACGCTCGCATGCTGCTTCACCTTCACTTTTCACCATATGACGTCGCGGAGGGTATAAGCGAGATCTGAATAGCGCATTCGAGAAGCTACTTGAGTATGAACGATTCTCCGTTCTCTACGTTAACTACATTCACCTTCTTCTCTTCTGAATCCGGCACCTTCTCTTTGCCCAGCGCCCATTCCAACGTCCGGGAGATATCCGTAACGATTACCCACAACAGCCCTCGATATTGTAGTGGCGAGTTGTGTGTAACAATCCAGTACTTTGAGTCCGTCTGCCTCTGCAATTCTAACCCGGTTGCAACGCCGAACGTGGTCTGCCAGTTGAACGTCCAACTCTCTTTGAGCCCGTGAAGGAGGGCAAGCACGTTGAAGTCTGGTGTTGACCTATGTAAAAGAGTCTGCAGAGACTCCTGAGAGGTACGCATCCCGTGTGGGGAGTATAATACCGCTTCGTGTGTGTCTGGTGAAGGCGTGTAAATAATTGCGCTCACGAAGTTGAGCTCATGGTGACCGCGGGCTCGGAAGACCGTGAGCCAGGTGGGTAGCGGGCTGCCTGGATGCAGCGATGTCCAGTCGCCCTCGAAGATACCCGGCTCTAAGTCTCGGGTGGTCATGATGTTGTCAAAGTGGTTCCAGCCGCGAATGATCGCGCTTGCTTCCGTTGTCGCGAACACGGGTATACTTGGCGCGAACGTTAGTAGTGTCGGCTTGTGCAGGTGATCGTCGTAGTGGAAGCGTATGAAGATCGCATCAATTGGTGAAGCATCTTGGGTGACGGCTGTCGTGGTAGGGAGATACCCAGCGTCTGCAGCTGCAGCTTCGATGTCGCGCGCAATGCCTTCTACATCGCTGCCGTTGTTGACGGCGGGTGGAGACGATAGGCTGAAGCTTGCTAGCCATGTTCCTAATAGATTGACAGGGCCGTTGAACCACGGGTCGTGTACGATGTGATAGAATGCTTTCCCGCTGGTAACCCGCTCTTCGCTTGGACGTGGAAAGGAAAGAAGCCATGAATTATCCCCGTTCAAGGACGTGAATGTCGGTCGCAACTGCTGCTGGCCGACTGCTGCATTGCGTATCTGCGTCTTGAGTGCGACGGCACGATCGTTCGCCATTGCTGTTGTCAGTTGTTCCGAGGCCGCAGTGAATTACGAGAGTAGAGGGAGTGGATTGAGCACATACGTCATGTCTGACGTGAGATTCAAGGTCACTAAAGTGATATTCAGCCTTGTACGAATGCTATCCAATAGACCGCGAGACGCGGTTCGCCTGACGAGGGGTAGTTACGCCCGTGTAACCATGTCGCCCATGGGCTACGTTACACGATCGAACCAGATAAGACCGCCCTTCACGTCGCTCTCGAGGCCCATACCGACCGCGACAACCTTTCCGGCCTCTATTCTGATCTCGCCTCGGATAGTACTGTACAACTTTCCCTCCCACACGCCGTGCATCTCCACCGCGAACGTTTTACCGCTGAGGTGTGCGAACGTAAGTATGTACGGAAAGCATCGATCGATGCAGTCCGCAATAAGCCTGCCGTCCTTCATCTCGATTACCAAGCCCTTGTACCCAACGTTGTGGTAGCTGCCGACTATCGCGTCAAGAGGAACGTCAAGCGGCTGCGCATCTTCCACCTTCGTCCACTCTGGCTTCTCCGCCTCTTCGGCATCGTCCATGGTCTGGAAGTTCTTGAAGAACGCGCTCCAATCGACGCGGTCTTCGTCGCGTACGCCGAGAACATCGTCGAGCATCGTAAACTTCAAGATATCATTGACGTACATGGCGGTGTCCGAGTTGCCGAAGATGACGAGGCCCCAGTCGAACTTGGGGAGGAAGCAAACCATGGCTTTGAAGCCGGGGACCGAGCCGTAGTGGCCGATGACCGTGTGTCCGCGATAGCTCGTGCGGGATAGGCCGAGGGTGTAGAGTTCGTCGCTCTTGTAGGGTATGGCCCATTTGTCGTCGCCGAGGAGATCGAAGCTGCGGGGCGTGGCGAGCGCTTTGTGGCTGTCTTCGGACAGGATTGGGTCACGTTTGATCAGCGCGCGGATGTATTTCGCGTAGTCGCCTGCGCTGCTGAAGATGCAGCCCGCGCCGTGACCTTCTGGTGCTGGTGGGTAATGAGGGAGTGCGACGTAAGACTCGGATTCACTGTTCCAGTAGTATGGCCTTGCGCGTCGATCGGTGTCGCTGTTGGCGTGGATATCAGGTACGTCGTGGAATGTGTTGATCATGCCGAGTGGCTTCCAGAGCTTTGTCCGGATGAAGTCGGTGTAGGACATACCAGTCACAGTTTCGATGAGGTGCACAGCGACACTGAACATGATGTTGCAGTAGATGTGCTCGGTACGAAGCGGTTTGACGAATTCGAGATTGCGCAGATTGCGCGTCAAGGACTTCGCATTGTCGGGGTGCTTCGCTCGTGCGCTGAGGTAGGACTCGTCGTGAGTTGCAATGCCACTCCGATGACTCAGAATATCGTCAATGGTGATTTGCTCCGTGAGATATGCATCGGGAAGAACGAAGTCGTCGGGAAGAATCTTTGACACGGGTGTTGTCCATTGTACGTCTGGGTAGTTCTCGTCGTCTACGAGAAGGGCCACGGCCGCCGCGGTGGTACATTTGGAAGTGCTTGCGAGGTCGAACAGGGTGTCTGTAGTCGCTTGGGTGTCGGGCAGTTCTGAATAGCCATACGCCTGAGGGATGTGAGTGATGCGCAGTGGTTCTTGTGGAGAGGCCTGAATACCTTGGAGTGGATGTCGTCGCCTTGTACAACTGCGAGCGAAAGACCAGGGACGTGAAGTTCATTTATCGTCTCTAATACGAGCTTCTCGAATTCGGATGTCTTGTGAGCCATGGTGTGGATCAAATTCTATACTTCGTGCATTCGAAGGTCGCCCAATATATACTTTGCTACTATACACCGGTTCATGGTCAGCGTAGTACCTCTCGACACGCAGAGCCACACGTACTCTGGGTCAGAATGATTCATCTGCACTATCTCCGGTGTATTCCGCTTATGGGATGGTTCGGTATATCATAGCGTGCCGTTGGATGCGGAAGGCGTGATGTGAGTCAAGTCGCGCTTCGGATAACTTAGGCCGGCGACGAGTTCCGTCATCCGCGTATATCGAGCCAATCAGCTGGTAGCGCCTGGAGGCCCTCGCCCAATCGGTAGGTGGTGGTGCATTCTGGGTATAGAAAGAGCTCTCGTCACACTGCTCTTTTGACAGGAATGGAAGCCATACTTGATCCAATTGTATCATGCATACGTCTACGTCTCGCAGCTACAGGAAGTTGCCGCTCGAGAAGCGATCGCCAAAACCCTTTGACTTGCTGAGCATCTCGCGCTTCTGCTTGTGGTTGAGCGAGCCGCTCACAGCCATGTCCTTCTCGTAGTCGAATGCGCGCTTGCTGGGATCGTCCTCCTTTTCCTTGCCCGTTCCCTTATCTTGATGTTGCTCGACCAAACTCTTGCCGCGTGTCGCATCGATCTTCTCGCGCATCTTGCGTGCCCTCCTCTCCTCTTCTTTGTTGCGCTTGGACTCGGATGTAGCAGGCGCAGAGTTGGTGGGTGCGGTTATGCCCAAGGCCTCGTCTTGCAGCCGCTTGAGCTTTTGTTCTGGTGTCTCGGTCCATGCGCTGCTCATGCCTCCTGTGCCTCCAGCGCTCTTGCCTGTATTGAACTTGCGTGCGCGCATCTTTGTAGGGTCCATTCTAGCGGCGAGGTCGTCCTGCGTCGGGGGCAGTGTCATCCATTCGTCGCGCTGTGCCTTCTTCGGGGCGTCGGTGAATTGCGGTTCCGTGTCGAATGCCGATTTGCCCCTGGCGCTGTCGAAGCCTGAAGATGCTCCCCCAGCTGGTGGCGGCGCGGGCCCAAAGTCATCGTCGCTGCTGTCGGAGCCGCTGTCTGGGGGGTTGGGCGGCCGCTCGTCGAGAAGCGCTGGCGGTGGAGCAGGCCCGACTACGCGCGCCGGCTTCGAGGATGGCGGAGGCGCAGGACCGACGTCGCTGTCGACACTACTGGATCGTGATGTCGCGTCTGGTGGTAGTGAAGGCCCAGCTGTGCGCGGAGGTGAGGATGCGGAAGGTGGAGGTGCTGGGCCGATGACTCGTCTGCGCTTGTCGCCGGATTCTGGACTCGATGCGCGATCATCGTCGTCGTCGCGACTGCGCTTGGAGAGGTGCGGCGGCATAGTGGGTCCTATTGAAGGCATCGTGGGGTGTGGGCGTGAATGGAAAGTGTACCTGACTGCGCGCCGAGTGACGTTCATTGGAGCTTGGACCTTCACCAACGGCGCGGCACATGCGGCGATCTGCGAACTGCGCCATGAGCTCCGGAGACGCGCCATCCTTGCCAGCCCATGCCAACCCTCGTCGGCGCCTTTCACCCTCTCAACTAACCTACACGCCCGTCGCATACGCCCTCGGTTGCCGCGCTACCCGCCCGGACGCACGCCTAACTCGCCTTCGCGTAGGCAGCACCGACCCGTACCGCATACCATCACCGAAACCCCCGCGCCGAGTCGACTACACCCACAAACTACAACATCCCGAAGACCAGATACCAGACATCGCGCAACTACCCACAGCTATCAGATGTGCGCCTGAAGCAATGCCCTGTGCAGAACGAGCCTGATGAGCTCAGATTCGGATGAGAGCCACTCCAGCGCTCACAACGACCATGGAGACGAGATAGACGCCAGGGAAGGCGCCGTGGGCGCTTTTGGTGCACAAGAAGATGATTCTGAGGGAAGCGCGACCGAGCGAAGAAGCGTAGACGATGAGGACAGCGAAGATGTGCAGTCGGTAGACAACGGCATCGAGGGCTTGACATTTGCCAGGACACGGCGGAGAAGCCCCCA